GTTCTACCAATTAATGTTTGAATAGAGCAGCGATTAGAGAGACATCTGCCATTGTATATCCATTCAGAAAAGAGCTAAACTTGCATATTCATATGCAATGAAGACAAAAATAAATATTTGCAAAGGTAAACTATACGTTTAGATTATAAATATAATTGAGTTGATTTCCTTTAATGAGTGTTCTCTATTTTTCAATATTTGAGATTATTTTTTATTTATAAATATAGAATCTTTCATCAATACATGGCTAGAAATGGACAAATTACTCACTGAAAAAGCATTTATATAAGGTTCCTGATTTCAGGCCTTGGGTGAACTGGGTTTCATATCTACTTGTTTGCAATTTGCACTATTTCTGCTTCAACCCATCAGTTATTTGTGAAATGCTAACTTGATTATTCTGTAAGCATGATACATGATTAGGCACAAAAATCACATGGCATTTTTCCACCTCATCGGAAGGCAATACTTCGAGTAACAAACTGATTATAGCTGAGAAAGGACCATCTTTTTTACAAGTTTTTCTATGCAAGCTTGGACATTTGTACATCAAGAGGTATTTACAAATCTTTTTTCAAATAATTCAGATGCTTATATATAGCAGTGACAGCCACAGAAATACTATCAAAATGAAAAGTAGTTTGAAGTTTTAGCAAGCAAGCACTTATTATTACTGTTTCAAGGGAGTACCCTTGTCCCCTGAATTTTAAGAGCAACATGAGCTGTTACATCTTGCAATAAACTGCAGATCTCATTCTCCATCATTAGCACAAAGCAATCAGGTAGTTGCACCTTAAGGCTGCACAGAAAAAAACAAGGTGAAGAATTGGGTTCTTTTTAATGGCTGGAAAGAACTATAGTACAGTTAAAGACTCCTGCCCAAAGTGATGCCCCTGCAAAAAAAAAAAAAAACAAACAAAAAAACAAACAAACAAAAAAACAAAAACACACAAAAAACCCCCACAAAAAACCACAACACCTGGGCTTTAAAATTATTTTGTTCATGGAAGAGGAGAAGCTCTTATTGCACAATGCTGATCAGGCTTAGCACATGTAAGGACAAAGAATAATGCTAGTGCTGCCAGAAAATCAATACTGTTACAGGCTAAGACAATTAGCTACAAACCAATTTAAACCCCATTTCCTTTTCACCCTCCTTGTCTTGTTGAAATATTTCCAACACTTCCATATGGAGCAAATATTACTATTACTTCTAAGTCCAGAAGAAAGTCTGAAAGTCTAAATGCTGAAGAAACTGAAGAAAGTCTGTATACACAGGTGGATCTATATCAACTTCTCACCTATCCCTAGTAGGTAACTCCAAGGTTTCATTACCAAAAAAGAATACTGGACTAAAACGTCCCACTGAATTCTCCAGTGACAAGTGAATTTATAAAACTTGCAGAGGTGAATTTCATTTAAATGACAACCATGCACATGTTCAAGGTAAAAGCAGAACTTGTTCCATAATGCTTAGAAACCCCATTCATACAGTGTGTGGAGTGCAGTTCAAATGTACACAATGTGTGCCCATCTAGTTTGTCATCTAAATGTCGGCAAGTATAAAATACACACAGAAATGGAATTATAGAGAGTTGGAAACCATAAATAAAAACATTAATCAGAAGTCTTAGCAATCCTGAACTACACAGGAAAGCCCTGAAATAAAAGCAAATCCTCAGTTTCCACATTTCATTTCTTTGCTTTTGTTTTATCTGTAAACTGATGACCTAATGTGATCTAAATTTCGTAACCTTCTTCAAGATTTAGTATTAGTACAGCCATTTCAAAACTCTTCTACTTTTAATTTCTTCTGAACAACAGAAGTCTTTGTTCCCCCAGATAGACTAGAAGCATCTGTTTACACCACTTTTCAACATGACTCAGGAAAAAACAAGAGGTCTAACACTGTTACTGAGGGTGACACTGCAATAAAGAGTTTTCCTACTCTGATATATATCTCTGAGTTAAAAATTTTGAAGGAAAGCTGACTTACCTTGCACCTACATCTATAACTTATTTTTACAGCAAAACTTGGTTGCTAACATAGTAAATAAACAATAGCACTCATCAAAAGCATAATCGAACCTTCCTTTAGGAGAATACTTTTCCAGTGCTGAGGAAAGACTGACATACAGTTTCCACTTCAGAACTCATTAAATGGGCAATCCAAAGTGTCTCAGAGCAGGCTAGGAGTTAAAATTTCACTTGTGTAATTATTCTGAGGAAATATGTAAGTCTGCCATCTGGAAGTGCATTAGACATTACAAAGTCACTGTGTGCATGCCTCAGCAGATGCAGCTTTTGTTCAGAGTTTTGAGGGCTGTTAATTTAATTAGTCTTGTATTTTCATACACCCACCTTCCTGCAAAGGCAGCATCGGTTCAGCTTTAAAAGAATCCAAAGCTAAAAGCTAAATTCAGATTTTAAGGAAATAGAAACATATAAAGTTCATATGGACTTCAAACAGAGCTTGATCTGTTCATTAGCAGGACTAAACATTACTGCCAATGGCTTTTTAGACCAAAACAGAAAACTGTGCTCAACGCATCCTTCCTACATTACCTTTCTTAATTTAAGGAGTTTAGGAAAGGATTCTACCATTTGTTGTTTTTGGTTTTCATGTTTTTGGTTTTTTTTTTATTAAAACCACTCAACAACAATGATCTGGAGAATGTAAAAAGCCTCTCATTTTTTCCTAATGTCTTTTATGTAATGGGAGACCAGACAAATATTTAAGTTTGATTCTTTCAGGGTTTTTTCTGTCAGAATATATCTCTGAGTGAAGAAATGTTTGTCTGTTCTAAAAACTAGGACCATCACTCACCTAAAAATAAGCACTAGCTCTTTACAGCGTCTTCTAGCACTTTACATTTCTCATAATAGCTTGTAAACTAAATTATGTAACATTTCTACAAAATAATTCGTAATATGCAGTATAAGAACTATCTGTGATGAAGGTAATTATATCTGTCCATGTACACATTTGTTTCTTTCTAACCCTTAATCCTGTAAGATGCAACACATGAGCAGATCTCTGTCAGTGCGGGGTCCTAATAACTGCACAGATCTCCATGCAGTATTGCAGAACTATAGAACCAAGTTGTTTCTTAGATTGTAAACCTATGCCAAAGAAAATCATCCTGAAATATTTGACAAGGATCAGAATTTCTGTCAAGTGAAAATCCAGACAAGGCACACAAGCCAGCAATGACACCAAATCAGTGGTGTTTGCACAGCCCAAGAAGCTCAGGCCTTGGGGATCCAAGAATATTTGAGACACTACGAGGTAAACACATACAGTTAACAGCAGAAAGACAGGAAGAGAGACAATTTCTAGAAAACTATGCACTTTCACAAATAACAGCAAAACCTTCAAATATCAAACACTTTTTAATTAAACTGAATACAAAAATCAAACAAGGCTGACATGGAGAAAAGCTCAGAGATTACTAAGAGCGATTTAAAAGCCTAGACAATTTGGAAAATGTCCATCAACACACCCATTAGTTAAGTGTGTACACTGTAGTTTAACTAACTAGGATAATTTACACTGGAACAGCTAATGAGGTTACTACACAGATACCCAGCTGCCCTGCTGCATGGATAGCTGAGCTTCCTAACAAACAGTTTCTGAAAACAGAGTTTGCAGCACGGTATTGATTTCAGGTCACCTGAAAACATGACGATGTAAACTGCAGCTGTCCAGAAGCCACTTGCTAAGCAGCTCAACTGTCTGGGCAGCAGGAACAGACAGTTGTGGGCAATACCTCCATCAGACATCCCAAAATAATCGTCCCTCTTTGCAACAGAGAAGTTTTTCCTGTACATTAGTTTCCAGTTATTATAATACTGGCCAATATATAATACTAAGCCAATAAATAAAAGAAAATAGGAATACTAGCTATAATAAGAAAGAGATTCTTATAATCAGTGCCATAGAACAGGAAGCTATACTAAGACTATTGCTGAAATGTTAAGGCATTGCTCCTCCCAGCAAATATTTGTTAGTCATACTGGATTTCATGATTTTAAGAAACTGAGGAACTTTGTGTCATTTCTGGTTTGGTTTGTGTTTTGTTGGGTATTGGGTGGGATACTTTTAATTACAAACAAATATCGATTTCCTACCTGAATTTGCCTGCTTAACAGGAAAAGGTGTTTTGACAACACTATGAAAAGATAACCAGTATCATTATAATGTTAAAGGAAATAGTTTGCAGATGTAGTACTCCACTTTTAAAAATTCCTGAATTTAGAGGATTATCTAACACAATGTGTAGGGAGACACTACAGACCTTCTAATCAGATGAGAGATCAAAGAGACAAAAGTCTAAGAGGATTTTACAAATATCACACTGAGACTAGGAATTCAAATACCTAGAGAGAAAATTATGATATCTAATGGTAGAAATAATTTATAACGAAAAAACATTTATTCTAAAATCAACTATTTCCTGAAAAATACAATGCACAAAATTTAAAGTCCAGAGCCATGTTTTAATCTAAGCTTTATGTATTTATTTATATATCAAATAGATACATGTGACAGGTTCCCCTATTTCTGTAGCAAAATAAAATCACCTTTAAAAGTCTCAGAAAGGATACTGAAGTGCTGCTCTGTCCAGTGTTACTCTTGGAAAACAGAAGAAAAAGGAGGAAGTGGCAGAAGATGCAGCTGATGCTGGCTACTCAGGGAAGTTAAGGGGCTCCATGTGACTCGGGAGCTGACACTTGAGACGGATCAGACTCCATAAAAAAAGGTGAAAAAGTTGCATCGAAGACTTACTAAATCAGCAGAAAGGAAAAAAGGATGACAAGCAATAGGGTCTGAAAAGTAGTTAGCTCATCACAAAGTAACTGTATCTACAGGAGCAAAATAGAAGCCAAATTTGGCTACCGAATAACACAAGAAACTCCAATTTATCTCTCACACAACTGTGATTTCAGCCTTAATGATTTATTGCATGTTCCAGATGCAATAATGAACATGCTCTTACCGAACAGCTTTTGTCAAAATTCCTTTTCCATTGCTTCTTTACTTGCTTCTTTGCTGCAGTTGAATGAAGAGTTGCATGTGTCTGTTTTCGGGGATTTAAAGCCAGAATGTTCTGTAGAAAGAGAATAGAAAACATTAAAATATAGATAAAATTTCCATGGAAGTTCAAAGCCTCTTAAATCACACCTTACACACTTATTTACAGTGCTATGCAAAACCAAACCACAATTATTTAACATTATAGCCCAACTCCATACTAATTAGTTTAGATTCACATTGTCCACACAACTTAGATTATGAATATTTAAAGACATTTCTAGGATTACTAGAAAACAAAATTATATTTAATGGCCTTAATAATGGTTTCCATTCCCATGGATATTTTTTATGTACAGCATATAGAAACACATAATTCTGCTTCATTATATCACTCCAAGTAACACTTGTAAAGCAAGGTAAGCAAAAACATTAAAAAGGATCTGTTTTATTTCTGAATGTTTCATCATTTCAATATAAACTCCAACTTCCCCCGCACAGTAATTTGCTTCTACACCTAGTGAGCTGATGAGCTAACTCATTTGTCATAAAATGCTTTTATTTGCAAGGATACAAACAAATCCAGGAAATATAGCCACACTTTTAAGTCATGGTGATGATCTGACAACAGGCAGAAAGAAGTTTTTAGTGTCTTTCCCTGTATTAGAGTAACTCAACAAATTAAATTCGCTTTTTGGAACCCAAGCTCTTTTTCCAATCAGGCAAGTGACAGGTTTCCATAGCAAAACTGACCTCATTTAATTCAAGGGATGAGTGTGAAAGGCACGCAAGAGACACATCCAGACTCAGGTCTGTGAGGGAGAACCAAACCAGGCACGTTGTTGGTTGTAACTCCTGGAATTAGTTTTGTAAGTTTGCCTTCAAAAAACATGGACTTCAGCACTATATGTCTCCACTGTGGTGAATTGGGTGTGCTTATTCTGCTACTATATGTCAAAGATGTGCAAGACTGACCTAGAGAAATGGAGGCTGAACATGATGAGTACAATAGGGTTATGAATATTATATCAGGATGTTTCCTAATTTTAAAAGTCTGCTTGAGTGGGTGATAATGATGAAACAGTAATCTGTTGTATTAAGATTTTATTGTACTGACAATTATTGGGACTTTTTATTTTAAATGTGAAGGAGTCACTTTCTGCCGAACTATTTAATGCTTTAAATCTGAACTGATTGGTAATCCATTTTTCCTACAAACCAGAAATCTCACCTACTTGAAAATTCTACCTGCAAACAACAACACAGCCCAATGCAGTAACTCCCAGCTTGCCTGAAGCACAAAGATAAAAGTGGGGTACAACATTCAAAAAGGTATAGACTATTTAGCAGTCTACATGCTGTTGACTTTCAGAAAGAGTTAAAGGGTGTTACTGGATGTGCTTCCGCAATTCCAGCAGTAAAGACTGCTCCATTTCTAGGTGTTCCCCAGCTGAGTACCTCAGGCAAGATGTGGGCAACCAAATGCAGTCAGTAGTGGTTTATGCCAATTTATTTCACTCTTAATTAAAACAGAGCAGGGGCATCCACATAAGGGATGTCATTTACAGCATCTCAGTTGATACTTTAATTTCTCAGGATAATCAAACTCAATTGTTGGAGCACATCTGACTGTTGAGTGGCCAAATTACAGAAACCGGGTAGTAGGTTCTGAATCACACACAAACTTCAGCAAAATTTTGTCTTCTCTCTTTTGTAATTGCTTAATGCTTGGCCATGAATATTATAATTATTTTAGCAAACTGAAATGAATTGCAAATTTCTAGCAATAAACTGTAACAGATGTACTCCACTGGGTACAGCACCAGTTGGTTTAAAACATGGAACAAATGGCGGGGCAAGCCAAGGACGGAAGAATCCCCATATGTTTGCTCCTGTTGGAATTCTGCACCAGGAGCATGGCTCCAAGCGCAACAGTTGCAGAAATCCAAAAGGACTACGTAGCACAGCATGTCCCAGAATTAAATCTGAATTAAAACTGGCACAGAAAATACTCAATCACATATACAATGTAAAAATTGTTTATATTCCCACTACCTAAATAATATACTACCTGCCTAAATCTTGGATTGCCGACCAGAGTGGCTGCTCTAGCTAGAGATCTCTGGTGTTTTAAGAACAACTCAGATGTTAACTGCCTGGATGGCAAAGTAATGTAAATGTTTCTGGGTCTGTTGAACTGTCAGAAACGAAAATCCATGAGGGTGTTTTCTTCCTATTCATTTCAGTTCCCTGGTTGGTTTTTCACAGCTTATGGCTAGTCAGACATTTAGTAAATTTAACAAATAAATGCAGATAAGTCAGCAACTAAGAAGAAAAATTACTGAGAAGAAAGTTCTACAGTCTGTATTGCAAATAACAACGTATGCACAAAAATAAACCACTCTGGACACGCAAGAAAGGAATCCTGAGATCTCCAGTCTCTCTAACACACTGGTCATTTGAGCAGGATGAGAGCTGCTGGTGAGAAGAATTATTTGGGGTTCTGCAATCTTGCTTGTCTGAATTCCATGCTTATTCTGCTCCATAAATTCTCTTTCTTGACAGATGAGCTGTTGATCTCTCCAGATGCTAAAAGGGCAAGACTCAAGTTCCTCAACAGAGAATGCAAGTACATAATACACTCCTTTTCAAAGTACTCTGAACTTTGGATTTCACATGAAGATGCTATTTGTATAGTAATGCAGAACCTGTGAATAATATCTTTACAGTTTTACATAAATGGCCACATTTATTTCATTAAAAATAAAGTAGGTATAAATCCATTATCATTAATGGCTGCAAATCAGAATATAACACTTCTGTATTTGTGTAGAAATCTGTTTAGGTTGATGGAGAAAGAAATGGGGCTATGAGTAGGTACACAGATGCACATGTTGAGTTTGTGACTCGTGGCACAGCTGCACAACATGCACAGTAGAGCTAAACCTGCAGCTTTGCACAGTGCTGATGATTATGCACACCACCAAAGAATTATACTTTCTTTCACTATCTCCATAGATTATTTTGAAGACTTCACTTTGGGAAGAAAGCTGAGTGGCCTGTCTACAGAATGTAAACCAGTATATTTTGCAGATGAGTTCCTCAAATACAACTACCTTAAGGAATTCTTTTAATAATAACCCACGACGATGACTTCTTTAAGTCTTTTGAAATACAACAATTATAAGCTACAAAATATAGAAGAATGGTTCGATTTCTGAATACATCCTCTTCTGGAAGGGAACATATTATATTGTTATTATGTGACTAATAGCTATTAAGGTTGCAAGTATCCTAAAATGCATTAAGCTACTCATATGTAATGTACATGGAGAACAACTAGCATGTATAAGTCATAGCTACAGTTTTTAAATTTTGAGAATTTAGTGACAAATGGTTATGTTGATCTGTGCCAACACTAACACAGCTTCTGAGAATAAACTTACCATAAGCTATTCATTAGATGCTTATTGCTTAGCTTCTACTTTAAACTGTATGACTAACAAGGCTACACAAAAAATACTAGCTCTAATTTTCACTATCATCTATTAATCAAAAGACTGTAAAAGTTTTAAAACAGCATATTATATCACAGTAAGTAATTTATAAAAAATTTGAATTAATATTACTCCAAATAAGTGATTTCAAAGCAGTCACTCAGGATAGAATACACCTTCCAGTTGGGAGTCCTGTTTCTGACACAGCACTTTTGGTTAAATCAGGGCAGGTCTGGCACTTGCTCCCCAGTGATGCAACAAATTTCTGGTAAGGACATTTCATTTCACTTTTAATTTCATTAAAAGTGTCACACAACATTTTATTCCCATCTCATAAAGCCACCCTTTTCCTGAAATCAGAAGAAGCTATTGCAATTAAATCTGATTCTTAATTAAATGCATATTCAGCAAAATAAAATATAAATTTATGGAAGCACTACACTTATTGGGAATGCTCCAAAGCCAAGAGGGATAGGGGAGGCAGGCAGAGAGGGCACATTGTTAGGAAAAAGAGTACAATTTAAATCACAGGTGGGACTTCAATAACTTCAAGGCAGTCCTCAAAAAGTCCTGCTAGTCTAGCATTGTCTTTGTAAAATATATGGCACAAATTCAGATTTTGAAAGCTTTTTTTTAAAGCACTACGTTGTGAAATCTTTGGATTTTTTTTCTTTTTTTCCTTTCTCTGCTCCAAAGTAAAAATCTTAGCCAGGTGTCTTGCTTACGTGGACATTGTCCCTCACTCAAAACAGTAAGTTTGGAAAAAATTCAATAGTTCAGATTCCTCTGCTTCTGGAAAGCCTCCTACTGAAACCAATGAGTTGCACCAGGAGTATTTAGTCCTCAGTAATCCTCGTCTTTGTTATTGGTAATTCAAAGTCAGAATAAGGATCAGAAAAATCTACCTGCAGGCTCTGTCACAGGTTGCAGCATTAGAACTGTGTAAGCTTCTTAACAAGACAAAGTAAAAATTTGCTGGTTTCATGGATTCTGCCCACTTCCCCTAGCTTGTTGGGAAAGTTTCTTATTAACAGCCCCAAAACACCTGCTTAAGTTCACCACAGATCAATACATATACAGTCACAATGGACCTGCTGAAAATGCAACTGTGTGCATGCAGACTATGATTGTGGGCATAAAATACAGTCCCATGTGTTATTCTCTTTGTTTTAGCATATAGCACATTTACCTAGCCCAAACCCTGCAATACACAGGTTATATCCTGATTTACTCCAGTTGCTTCATAGAGCCTCCTCAGCTAAGCTCTTTTATATACATCAATTAAAATTCAGGAGTAGCCTAGGCATGCTAGGGAATGCATGTGGTGAACAATTTAACCCACCCCATTCCATTAATCTACCCAATTTCCTTAAAAAAGAGTTGTAATCTCCCTCACAGCAAGTAACATTAAATGTAGTGTAAGATACATATGTTCACCAAGTGAACATAATGAGAACATATTTATTTTTTCTAGGAGTAATGAGCACACTAAACAATTAATTTCAAAGCTATGCAAGTGTTAATTCACTGACAGAAACAAGTACCTGGGGCTTTTCCGATGATATTTTCTAGTATGTCT